ATCATTCCAACATCACTTGAAAGCCACATGATCCATTGAACAAGACCAAGAATTGTTTTCTGATGGAGCCATTGTTTGCTTCTTCATCTTGTTGTTGGGGCTTGTGGATTTGGGTTTGGTTATTCTTTGTCTTGCTTCTCTTGGCTCTTGCTGAGGTTGGTCCAGTGTTGTCCTCGTTGCTGTTTTGATGTTGCTTTGTGTGTTTAGGTGTTTGATGGTGTCTCTTTCTTTTCCCTTGTCATTTGTGTTTTTGTTTGTTTTTACCCTTCCCTATCCTTCCCACCATCCCTCTCCTGCTGTTCTGTCCCTGTGTCCCTCTGGGTTTGTGCCTGGTGTCTGTCCCAGCTGCACTCGTCTTCACTCAGTCCTTTCTCCACACCCCCCACCCCCTCACCCGGTAACGGACCCCCCTCCCCCAAGTTTGGCCGGGACCCCCTGTCGTACTGTTTGAAGGAAATCAATAAGACAGTCAAACCCCGAATCTCTTCCTTCCGGACCCTCAAGAGAACGGTGAGTGTGATAGGTCAGGGATCAAGCATACTGACTAAACCTGTGCGCTGCTGTCTCTTTAAGGCGTTCAGCAGCACTGATCTGGGCCCGAGTAGTGGTCACAATGAAGTAGAAATCACAGCTCTTTCGCTACTAATCTTCAGTCACAACAACACCAGCTCTTCACCTATTCCTGCCACACATTTAAGGCTGACGTCACAACTAGCCAACTCACCTGTTGCTGAAATCTCACCCTCTTTTGTCAGTGATTCTGTCACGCTCGGCGATTGACAAACTAAACGACTGCCTCTGACTTTTCTCTCTCACTCCCATGCATTTCAGTGTCCTATATATGTAGCAATCAACATAAAGCTTCTTGAAATAAGAACAGGAGCACCATGCAAATGTAACAAGTTGTCAGAGTGAATTAGAATGTAGTGCATGCAGTAACTTTGTCCTTTAAGTCAGTGTGATGTGTGTTTGTCCCTCTGGGGCTTGTAGTATACTCGTATGTGCCGGCAGCGCTTGTCAGCTTCTGTGAAAACATGACTTACTTTGAATAAAAATAGACTGTTCTGCTTCTGCATTCTTATTTTATTAGTCGTATAAGTTTAGGGCGAACCCAAGAAAAATGCATGTTTACACAATCACAGTCGACAGTCAGCATTTGTGCTGTTTGGATGAGATTTGAGGAGGACAATAGCAAGTCAGTGAATCAGTTTGGTGAATCCGAGCTTAACGTTCACTGGCACATGGGTCCTGCAGACTAACTAGGGCTGTGCCAATACAATCATGAATCATGATTCTTTTTCCCATGATATTGCATTGATACTTCAGGATCCTACAGTTGAATTAATGGAGAAGCAAGTCACCCAAAAAGCTGAAACTCTGAAACTAGTGTTTGTAACTGAGGTCAGAGCTGCTTTTATGAGATGTGGTTCAAAAGCGAAGTGACCTGCATGAGAGACACTAAGAAATCGGCTAGTGTGATGCCAGCTTATAAAACACTGTCTGTTTATATCTCTCTTCCTCAGTTTACTCCAGAGAATCTCATGGTAATCTTTTTAAAGTGGTGTGGGCCGTACGTGCCGTGTACATGTATATTTCACTCCCTCTGTTTTTATCAGATCATTTTCTGTCTGTGAGGATTTCACATATGACCACCTCCACATCGTCACTGAAAATGACACAGATTTTCTATAATTCGCTATTGTAGAGGTGGCCATTTTCAACGAAAGTCACTGCAGCCTCTGGGTTAATTTACAGTACACTATCCATCATGGCTTTTAAACAGTGACAAGCCATTCCAGGGTGAGAATGCAAAGCAAAGAATCTATGCACTGGTGCTGAAGCCAGGCTGTTATAGTGTTCTGTATTGGACATGTTTTAAAGTTGCATTGATAAATCTTTGCATGTGGTTTAAATTAATTGAGGGTTACTCAAAGGAATATTCCAGGTTAAATGGACCTTTAACTCTATTGACCTCATTTGTCTCGGGTTTGTAAATGTCGGGCGGATGTCTATGGGGCAAGTCTACAGCACTATGTGAATAAATGCTAAAAATATGAAACTGTAATTTTTGATAGTATAGCCATTATTTTAACATTGTTATCATGTATTAGCATGAGGCTAGTGTTGTTAACAACGCCAACCAACCTCAAAATCTAAAGCCAGTAAACACATTAATGTCCAAAGTATACTTCAGTTTTGAAGCAAACACATGCACAAACAAGCACTTCACACTAGTTTAATCCCAGTCTAGTGTCTGCACTATTTGTCAGTCTTTGTATTTGTTTAACTAGAGTTTCAGGTATCTCTTAA